CTGAATATTGGGATTTCACACTTTATTTTTATACGATTTCCCTCACATAAAATAACACATTATTAACTATATATGATATCTTTTGTAAACAACTCATGCCCTTCTTAGCATAATTATGCCGGTTATATTCGATTTATAATTAAAAAATCAAATTTTGAAAATCCATAAAAATGTCTAGCCCTTTCTACAAATGAGTTTTTTCTTGTTGACTTTGAAACATTTAGAAATAAACTTATGCTTTTGGTTTCTTTTTTTCGTTCAACAGGTAAAATTATTTTAGCAATTCTTATTTGTGATGGATACCTTTTTGTTGGAAGGCATTTTAAAAATCTTTTTAAACATTGTTTTGTAGATTCATTTATTTTTTAAAGTAGTTTATCCCAAAAACTTTAAAAAAAAACAAAAAAAAAAAAAACAAAAAAAAACATTAACATTCAGTAATATAAATATATACTTTTTGTTGGAAAGCATTTTAAAAATTTTTTTAAAAATTGTTTTGTAAATTTAATTTATTTTTAAAAAAAATTAACCCAAAAAACTTAAAAAAAAAAAAAAAAAAAAAAAACAAAAAAAAACATTAACATTCAGTAATATAAATATATCTATTTTTGTACAACACACCTGGTCAAGCAAAGGCGTCATTTAACTTTTTGTCCCCACCCCCCCCCCACCCCCGGATACATTTCGGTTTTGTCCTTCCTTAACTATGTTGATAGTTAAAAGTATGTATAGCCCCTAAAATATGCGAGGTCCCACGCAGCTGTAAGGGTTGCAGAACCCACACGATGGTTCTGACATCAAGTGACCCATAAAATCTTAACTAGGATATCTCCCGTTGCTCTCCACGTAAGTGAAAGATGATGCAAAACTAAATTTAAAGATGTAAAAAAAAAAATGGATTCTTGCACTTTGAATTATCAAAAAATTTCCAGGGTGTATAAAGATTTAAGGGGCTAGACTAAGCTACGCATGATCTATGGATCTATCGACTAAAGGATCCCCAACTTGATAGAATTTAGTTCATGTTGGGTTAGTGGAACAGCTAGAGATGCCCCTTTTATTATGGCCATGTCTAGCGCTGCCCACCCAAAACTCTGAAATGTCTTCATCAGTGGCGCTACATCTATATGTAGAGGGCGCCGGCGTGCTCCACCACATTCTTCTATTTGGACCGATGACTTTCCGCCCCCACCCCCCCATCAGCTGCCGCCCCCACCCCCCACCCCCATCAGCTGGTGTACATTGTAAATCCTTCGTTCTCCATCATGGATCCATCCTTGCTTTCTGCCTGTCGATCGTTTTTGCTGCTCAACGATCCGGCATCCTTTCAACGTCACTCTCCAGTGCGGTCTGTCTTTTTTTTTATTGTTGCGACTAAGGGAAGGGATGGAGGGGGGGGGGGGGGGCGAAACGAAAACTTGGTCGGCTTATTAAGTTGTTTATTACTGGAGGCGCCACAGTACATATACATTTAAATAAAACCTGCAAAATCAGTGGGGGCGGGGGCGAATGCCCATCGTTTTTGCTGCTCAACGATCCGGCATCCTTTCAACGTCACTCTCCAGTGCGGTCTGTCTTTTTTTTTATTGTTGCGACTAAGGGAAGGGATGGAGGGGGGGGGGAGGGCGAAACGAAAACTTGGTCGGCTTATTAAGTTGTTTATTACTGGAGGCGCCACAGTACATATACATTTAAATAAAACCTGCAAAATCAGTGGGGGCGGGGGCGAATGCCCCCTTGCCCTACCCAAATGATGTCCCTGATATCCATTGTTACGATACAGCAACATCTGGCTACTCCCTGGGAAGATTATAGCAGCTAGAAACTATACTATAATTGTCAGCTTAACTGACAATTATCATATTTATACTTCGATAAACAATGATATTTAGTCCTTAACAACCTTTTCATTGATTCTGCGTTAAAAATTAAAGTGTAGAAACTTTTTAACTTGTTGATTAACAAGCTAAACATGTAATAAAATGATTTACCTACAATTGTATGTGTCGTTTGAATAGATCAGCACAAAGAAAAGTGTATTTATCATTGTATTTATATTATAATTCATTTTTGTTTTGTTTGGGGGGGGGGGGGTAAAAAATGTTGACATAATTAAATAGGGACGGTCATCGAAAGTTTGACAGTTGTTGACAAGGAGGGGTGGGGGGGGGGGCAAAATGCGTAAACATTGTTGACGTAATTAATGGAAGACCCCTTAAAAGTTGATTTCATTTTGTGAAGAAATAGAAAATGGAAAACCTCTTGCAAACATATAAGCTAGGCTTTTTCTATCGATGGAAATTTAATTCCATATTGCTCGGAGTAAAAGTCAGACCATTTCCACCATATAAGTCTTAGGCCAGACTACTTCTACAACATAAGTCTTAGGCCAGACTATTTCCACAATTTAAGTCTTAGGCGATACTATTTCCATAACGTAAGTCTTAAGGTAGACTATTTCCACAATATAAGTCTTAGGGTAGATTATTTCCAAATTATAAGTCTTTGAACTAGAGGTGTTGCAAAAATTGATTTTTTTCATCAACAAAAAAACACACTATAAAGATATGTGACCTCCACGATAGATATCAATTACAGCGTACGTCTTTGGCTTCACTATTTCACAAATTTTCAATAACTGTAAGGTACCATGTATAAGTCTTTATAAAAATGTTATAAAATTCCTTCTGCGTTGTTGTAGTTTTTTTTTTTTTTTTTTTAATTTCTCTTTTTACAATTTTACATGGTGGGGAGGGGACAGTCGACTTGCTCCGTGGGGAGGGGGGTGGCAGTGACACGTTGGAGAGATCTCTGAAATAAACACTTGTTGCAAACAATGGGCAGTAGGGGTGGGACTTGTATTCGGTATCGGCTTATTTTTGAAACAATACAGTATTGATAATTGAATTCTGTATCAAGATTAGCGTTAAATATTCGGATCATCAAAAGTGTCGAGGGTGGGGATATACAGTCATGTTTCCACTACATCACTAATTTTTATTCCCAGCAATTCACCCTTAATACTCAAAAGTTTTTATTTTAAAAATTAAATTATATTTTTCCTTCATTTGTGTACCCATTTTTTTCTCGGAGAGAGGGGGGATCGCTGCCCCTTGGAGAGATCGAGTAATAAGGGGAGAGACTGCAATCAGGTTAGTACAAAATAAAATGAGTAAAATAAGAGTAGGTTAAACCTGAAAAAATAAACGCAACAAAACAGCGAACGTGTCGGCAGAAAGCCTTCGTCAGCGAACAAAACAAAAAAAGGTATAAAAATAAAAATAAGAAATAACACTTAGCTGGTAAGTAGTATCTGTGGGCAGCAATAGAAGTGTGCTGGATGAGGATGAGAGAACATGGAGGTGCAGTGTGTTGGATGATGCTGAGAGAACATGGAGGTGCAGTGTGTTGGATGAGGCTGATTGAACATGGGGGTGTAGTGTGTTGGATTAGGCTGAGAGAAAATGGAGGTGTAGTGTGTTGGATGAGGCTGAGAGAACATGAAGGTGTAGTGTGTTGGATGAGGCTGAGAGAACATGGAGGTGCAGTGTGCTGGATGAGGCTGAGAGAACATGGAGGTGCAGTGTGGTGGATGGGGCTAAGAGAACATTGGGGTGCAGTGTGTTGGATGAGGCTGAGAGAACATGGAGGTGCAGTGTGTTGGATGAGGCCTATTGAACATGGGGGTGTAGTGTGCTGGATGAGGCTGAGAGAACATGGAGGTGCAGTGTGTTGGATGAGGCTGAGAGAACATGGGGTGTAGTGTGCTGGATGAGGCTGAGAGAACATTGAGGTGCAGTGTGTTGGATGAGGCTGAGAGAACATGGAGGTGCCGTGTGCTGGATGAGGCTGAGAGAACATGGAGGTGCAGTGAGTTGGATGAGAGAACATGGAGGCATAGTGTGGTTGATGAGGCTGAGAGAACATGGGGGTGTAATGTGTTGGATGAGGCTGAGAGAACATGGAGGTGCAGTGTGTTGGATGAGGCTGAGAGAACATTGAGGTGCGGTGTGTTGGATTAGGCTGAGAGAACATGGAGGTGCAGTGTGTTGGATGAGGCTGAGAGAACATGGAGGTGCTGTGTGATGGATGAGAGAACATGGAGGCATAGTGTGGTTGATGAGGCTGAGAGAACATGGAGGTGCCGTGTGTTGGATGAGAGAACATTAAGGCATAGTGTGGTTGATGAGGCTGAGAGAACATGGAGGTGCAGTGTGTTGGATGAGGCTGAGAGAACATGGAGGTGCAGTGTGTTGGATGAGGCTGAGAGAACATGGAGGTGCAATGTGTTGGATGAGAGAACATGGAGTCATAGTGTGGTGGATGAGGCTGAGAGACCATGGGATGCACTATGTTGGATGAGGCTGGGAGAATAGGAAAGAGCTGCAAAGAACAAGAAATAATTGCAAGAGACAGTGAAAAGTGGCTTTTTTTGTCAAGTGACTCGGAGGACATATGATGTTGATAAAACTTTTTCATTGCCGTAAATATGCCCCTCGGAGTTCATTATCGTCAAGGGCTAACCGCCCTAAATTTGTTTCCGGGCGAATCACACCCCTTTCAACACCACTGCGATGCAGCATGTATAAAAAGATTTCAGATCCTCATTTACTGTTCCATGAAAATACATTTCCTATACCTGTAATATTCCTAGTGGCATAACTAGGGTAGTGCCGCCCAAAGTTAAGAAGTGGGTCCCAGGGTGGGCTGCAACCCTTCAGGCTACCTCTTAAGTCATCTATTTTTGGGATGAAGTCAACATTGAAATTGACTGAAGTAAGAAAACAGTAGCCAATTTGACTTGGAAATTTTTTTCAAAATCAGATGTGTGTCCATTGCTGTAGTCTTCGCAGTTAAGTTGAAGTTAGGGGAATAAATGTGCAAGACATTTTAAAAAGTATTAACATGAGTTAAATAACTTTTTTTTTTTAAAAACCAATGCAACATCCTAACCATAAAAAAAGTAATTAAAAAAAAACATGAAAAACAAATAGTTATTTGCTCTGTATATTTTATTCATAAATAAAAACTTTTATATAACAAATTTTGTATAAAGGAAAAAAAAAATTTGGGAATGTTGTGTGAAATATTGTAAAATTTATAACATATGATAATATAGAATAATAATACATAGCAAATTAGACAAGTAACTTACTTTCGATAACCCTGAAGAAGACAAACATTATAAAAATAATATTAATATATAGGCCTACAATAAATATTGGACAATTTTATTTTTTTATCAGAAGTAACAAATCAGGTACTACTCAAGCATTAGAAGGCCAACGATGACACTAATGTAGTCCCCTTTTCTAGCAGTTTAACTTCAATAATAATGAAATAATAAAATAAATATAAAATACATTCTCTTATTACTAATTACTGCTATAATAAAATTCATTTGCTGTAAATGACTTGGTAGTAATAGTCTTATGCTTTGATCACAAATTTGGCAGTGGGGTTCACCAAGTACAGATCTTGGATCAGTGTGCTGGGATGTAGACGTCTTTCACCTGAGCACACAAAAAAGTTTATTGTTCAAGGTGTGAGAATCACTGACAAAAAATGTGTTGTACAATTTTGTGAAGCTATTTAATAGTAAGAATTATTTGTGTTCAATTCAAAATATTTTTCTGAGATTCTTGATCAATTGTTTTATTCCATATAGCATCTTGTGAACCTAGATTAGGGAAAACCTAAAAAAGTTTTTTTAGTTGCATCCAATTTTCAGATTTTTCCTTACCTAGATTCACATATTTTCAGATTTCCCTTACATATTTCACATATTTCCTTCTACCTAATCTAAGTGCAGCACCCTCCCCTTATTAATAAAATGTCTAATAACCAGATGCTAGTGTTTAGTCTAATAATGTCTGAAATAGGATATTACAGACATAAAAATGAATAACTTGCTATCTAAAATGCTACAAGACACTTTCAAACATTGCACAGAATTTTAATGGAGCTTAAACATGTCACTGGTTTGTCAGTTCATTGTTAAGAAATAATTTATTGAGTAGTCAGTTCTTTGTTGCTACTGCTATATCATTGTTATTTGTACATATAAATAATCATATTCAATCCATGTTTTGATATCTTATTTGAAATGTATGGTTTGTATAAAGCTTTTATAATAGTGGCAAATTGTCAACGCACATTTGGATGGTGCAAGGTGTAGACAACATAGTCCTCCATAATGAAAAAAAAAATTAGAGAATAAATTTGAACATAATGACAAATATTTCTTCTACTAATGTATAGGAAATTCATTAAGGATGCAAGTAAAAATTTTAAAAACATGTGCAGCCAAGGGCAGGGTATTCACAATTTTTTGTTAATCATGGATATGATGGGAAATAATGTCATAATGATGCTGGTCAAAGTCCTATGGTTATAATGTGTTTAACTAATTACAGTTAACTTTAATTCCAGTGAAGAGCTACTAAAATACTGATTTTAGGGTGTTCAACACATAAATTGGGTATAACAATTGGCAAATGTTTAAAACCTACAACTGTGGTTGTTAGTGCTGTGAAGATGGGGAACAATCAGAATCTACCATTAGTGTACAGCTTCAATGTAGGTTTTTTTACAAGTTGGTTTAAGCCTGGGCAGCAAATAAAGAGTAATCACAACATTCTTTCTGTAATGGGCACTTAAGTTATGAGATTGCGGGTGATTTTCTGCAAGCAACATGGCCTTATCTTCTCTGATGTGTTTTGTTTTGTTTTTGCATTTTTTACAATTAAACAAATCCTAATTAGATTATTGTTAAATGGATTGACCCCTTGCCCTCATGTGCATAATGCAAGAGAGATTAAAATAATAGTTTACCAATGTTTCCGCCAACTTCATACAAATTTAAGGACTCTTTTGAATCATCTAGAGCCTGTAATGGGCGCATTGATGCCAGTTTGACCTTCAGCTCTGTAATGTACGGAGGTCTTGGTCTGCAGTGAAATAGAATTTTAACAATGTCATCAAAATAATGTACTCTTTACAGTGTTATTTCCTGTAACAAAATACAGTAGATTGTTATGAATTTTTGAGCCTGGTACAAAGGAAAAAAATAATGATCACTAATTGAAAAACAAAAAAAAATACATTTTTTTTTATCACATCTATTATGTTTGGACAAGTTATGAATCCTAAACAACAAATAGTGTTTGTTCTAAGTTCAAAATTTAAAATAAAAGTGATTGTTTGGCCATTGAGTCTTATTCTATAATCAATTGGTATTTTGTTAGTAAATTAAATGATCTCTCAAAAGTCTTAAAAACAGAGTCAGTTTCAAACATAATCGGTTGCATATTTTTTAAAAAATTTTATCATCTTGTCTGGAATTTTCCATTTCTTTTTTCATGTTAGGTTTAACCTTTTTTTTCTTCAAAAAATGTTAATTACCAATGCTAAAAAAGAAGGCATTTGGGTACATAAAATATGCAAAATTTAGAAAAAATGGGGTGATTGGTTGCAACATAAGTACACAATGGTGTTAATGGTTGCAAGCGACAAGGCTTTGTGCACATTGCAATCTATTTGAGAAGCTTTGCTTTCCCCAAGCAAGTAGAAACCCTGCCTAGATTCGTGCATTTAAGACATACCCGTACATAAGATGCTGGTTTCAACAATTTGTGTAAGCTAAATTACGTAAGACGCACGCGGCCCAGCCATCTGCTGCACTGAGCAATTTATATAACCATAGATAAGATGCACCCTTTGTGTAAGATGCCTCTTATATAAGCGAAAATAGGGTATTTGTGTTTGAATGATCAAACTTATCTCTAATACTGACATATTTTTCCCTGTGTACTGAAACACAACATCATCAGCTGACGTTTTAGCATCAAGACGGATCTTCTTGGTTTTTTCAGGCAAGTCTGGTGCTTCCACTTCAAGCTCCGTTGGCCTTTGTATGTCCTAAGAGAATAAATGTAATTGAACATTTAAAGAGTCATCCGCTGTTGGCATTACCTATTGCTAAGTGATGGTCCGCCTAGTATAAATGTATCCTTCTTGGAATAATGAGATTCTGTAACTGACCAGGCTGGGATCAAAGCCAGTAAGACTAAAGGGTTTAAGTATTCATGCAACTGTTCAAATGGCATGAAAAGGTTGACCAACAATTTAATTCTTCAATCTCCTCTAAAATGTCTCTCCCACCACAGATATATAAAAATAATAAATGTTTTCAGTACCATTCAATCTTATGGGTATAAAATAGTTAACACATGCATAAAAATGTAATAGAACACCTGTCATCTGTATTTTGTTTTAAATGGAAAAAATACATGTCACATTTCAAAATTTAGCCCCAATTTTATAAGTAAGACAAAAAGTCCCAGTGTTTCTGTAGCCCTTTGCTAGCAGCCTAATTTTGAAATGACAGACTTTAAAATAAATATGTTGTATATGGATGACCAGAATATTATATCAATTAGGACTTAGCCTTACTTATCTTTATCTTACTTATCGTTATGGGCTGCAATGGAAGACAAAGTTTTGTGACAGATTTAATTAATCTTAAATAAATGTATTGTCGGGTGATAAATTTCAAATTTAAAAAAAAACATTCAGTACAATTTTTAAAATCTTTTTATTGCATCCACCAAATATTAGATTTTCATGGAATTGCTGTTTAAAATACTAGATTTTAAGCATAACACCCAACCAGTGTATTTCTTGCCAATGATCCTTTTATATTCTGTTACTTTGTTAACAAACTCTCAACTATCCCATTATTGCAGGTACATTTTCCCCCATAGGATTTTATTGGTAATTTGTTTGACTGATTACCTCACATAAAAAATATCAAATTTACTTTTTAAAAAGTATAGAAAATACCATGTCCAAAAATGAATTATAAAATAAATAATAATAAAATACCAATGGACCAATTTGTAAACATTTTGTGACATATCAGGGAAATATTGATAATTTCATTCTTTCCTTTAAGAAAACTTTAGCACATTCATGATCCCACTTTTGATATGACATGGACTAGAACAGTGAAGAAATTCTGAACACTGTTTTTAATAAGCTTTCAAATGTGATCAAAAGCTGTCAATTTATAGCCCTAAATTAGCAGAAATTAACATACAAAACATGCGGTAAGAAATACAAAAGATGGAAGATTTCTTCAACTTTATAAAAAGCATCAAAAGTTGAGATGTGCTTACAAAGAGGAAATGCCAATTAAAATCTCTACCCCTCGCGTTAATGATATTATCAAAATAATTTACCACTATTTCTGGGTCTTCTTCTTTCTTAATCTCGTTTTTCCAAGAGCTAATGCTATCCTGAAGACAGACAATGGTAAATCTCATTAACCCTTTCAATACTCTTATTCTTAACAGCACTAAAACTGAATAGAACAAGTTTCAGTCAATCATTCATTCTGAGCCTAAAAATTGAACTTTGCCTCGTGTGGAATAGACACAACTTAACAATTTTAAAAAGTTTGCATAGCAAAAGGGCTAACCGACTTAAAACATAAGTTAATTCACAGTTGCCGAACCGCTGATTGTCTTACTTAATAATTTTCAGAACAACTCTAATGATCAGAGTTCTGCTACACTATTTTCATTGAAAATATTACCCATATCCCCCGGCCATATAAAGCAAAATACAGTGGCTATTTAACAGAGAACAATGTACATGTATGGCAGTTAATTTTAAAAAAAACATAATCCACAGCATAGGTGACAATTTACAAACAGAATGATGAATATTTTTTTATAAATCACAATGTACAATTCATATAGGACAGTTAAGCTATAGAGGACAGTTAAGCTATAGATAAAAATTATCGCCAAACTGATGACAGTTAACTTATAAATGACCAAAAAATATTATTTTTTTAATTTCATGATTATGTTTTCTAATATTTTTATATGCAGCGCTGTGAGCCCAGCCCTAGGCTTGGGTACCCCGCTATGAGACCAATAATAGTAATAATAAAAATAAAATCCACCAAATAAATAGCTATTAACTTCTAAATCAGGGTTTCTAACATGGGTGTAAGGAAAAGTAAATATACTAACAGAGGACATATTAATTTTGAAGTTTAATATAAATCTTTATTTATATATATATATTTTTTTTAAATTTTCATTTACATTTTTCTTTAATAAGTCACAATTTTATTTTAGTAAGACTCTAACAGTTATCTTTGCAATCTAAAAAAAAATTAGAAGTCCATCTTGTTCAAATTGTAAAATATATTTTTGCTTTTAATGGGGTGTGTGATTTTGCATAACAATACGGGGGGGGGGGTGGGGGGGGGGGGGGGGGGGGAGGGGCCCACAAGATTTAGTCAAACAATTTGTATGGGTTGCTTTGAAGTAGTAAGGAAACACTGTTTCAAAGAATTTAAATCTAATACCTTTAATTGTTCTGTCTTCTTTTTCCATGGGAAATTCTGAAATCATGAAGACATAAATCTTAATTCATCACTATGACTTTAAGGAAGGATGGTAGGAAAGACAGTGCTTGTCAGTAAAATAAAAATAAAACCAAAACACTTTAAATGGTGTTCAAAAAAGTTTACATAAAAAAAAAAACCTCTTTAAATGTACATCCATCCCTGTGTCGCTACAGCCCATGTAGGGCTTTGGCATGCCTCACCACTTCCTTCCACTCAGACCTAACTAATGCCTTTCTTTTCCATGCTTAGACTTTCAGTTGTTTTAGATCTTTTCCACATCATCCATCCATCTAAGCCTAGGTCTGCCTTCGAGCCGTTTTCCTCTGGGGTATTGATGATGCACCCTCTTCGTTCCTCTGTCATTTGGCATTCTCTCTAAGTGTCCTGCCCAGCGTAGCCTGCCACTTTTTATTTCTGCTACTATCGTGGGATCCTGATATAGACTGTACAATTCATGGTTGGTTCGTATTCTCCATCCATATTCATCCTTTGTTGGTCCATATATTTTCCTGAGAACTTTCCTCTCCCATGTGTTTAATAGGTTTTCTGCCGTTTTTGTTAGGGTCCAAGTTTCACTTGCATATGTTACAAGTGGTCTGATTACAGTTTTATAAATATTTTTTCTTTGTTTCTCTTGTACTTTTAATGTACAACAAAACTTATTAGCTCACTTCTTATTATAAGGTCTGAGGATTGCTTTGATTACACTCTTTGGTTTAATAATATGTTTGAATAGAGGTCTAAAATAAAATATGTGGTGAGAAAAATTAAATTTGTGAACATTCCCAAACAAAAATTTAGTGGGAGATGAACACACAAAGAGGAAAAATAACAAAAAATTTAATTAGAAAGCAAAATAACTGGAATGAGACATACAGGAGCTGAGCTTGAGCAAATTATTCCACACCAAAAAATATATTTTAAAAGATAACAGTTTCGAGTAAAATGTAGGTTAACTTAGATGGTATTTAAGAATTTTCAGTTTTTAAATATAATAGTCTTGTGTTTTCTCTCTTTAACTTTCTAATTTTGTATTTAAATTTTAACTAGAGAGACAACACAAAAAACTTACAAATAATTTGAACTTGGGTTTTTCACCAACCATATACTGGTATCTTAGTCCGCTGAGTATTTCAGGTGGAATCTGTACATTTAATATAAATTTTGTTTGTCTTAAAATTTTGTTAGCTCTTTGTTTTATATTACTACTATTATTCTGAATAAAAAATAAAACTTTAGAATTCTATTTAATGCAGACGGTAAACATTAGTGGACTTGGGCTGGCATGCCATGAGCAGAATATGTGCTTATCTGCAACAAAAACAATTCTTGACATACCGGTAATTTGTTCATTTAAAATTACAGAATATAAATGTAAAAGTTGACTTCTCACAGTTTTGTTTTGATAAGTATCACAAATTGGTTGGATAGATAATGTTCATCATTTGAAAAGATGTTACCATGCCCATGTGATCCAATTGCATCAGTTATACAAATGATTGGTGAAACAGAATTTATTGAATGATTATAAAAATGGACAGTCTAGGGCAGTGGTTCTTAACCTGGGTTCGATCGAACCCCGGGGGTTCTGTGAGTCAGCCTCAGGGGTTCGGCAAAGGTCCAAAAAAAAATCATATTTTATTTTTCCTATTAAGAAGGGTTCGGTGAATGTGCATATGAAACTGGTGGGGTTCGGTACCTCCAAAAAGGTTAAGAACCACTGGTCTTGGGTAAATGTTGAACCATTTTGGCACATGGATAATCATATTCTGTTTATGATTTGTAGATAATGATTTTATTTAAAATCTCTTAATAACTAAAATAGAAAATATGGAATTATCATTATGGCAATCATAGCAGATGTATTTTAGATGCAGTTAGAACTTAACCAATTACTGTTAATTGGTAAAATTTCTTTTTAAAATAATTTAAATGTGGTGTATTTGTGACATTTTAGTTTTAATATAAGTTTTACAGAGCTATGATTATTGTCAGAGTTATGGTTATTATGCCAAAGTTATTGTTATCGTGACAATTTTTACAGAGTTAAGGTTATTGTGCCAGAGTTATGGTTATTGTGTCAGAGTTATGGTTATTGTGCCAGTAAAAACAGAGTTATGTTTTTTTATTGTGAATTTATACAAACGGTAGACTACAGGAAAACCTGAAGCAGGAGAATAACAGAAGTTATTTTTTTGGCCAAGAAGCCTTCGACAGCAAAAAGATTTAAAGAGACAGACACTCTTAGACACAGAGTTTTATTTTCCCTATTTTTTTTTCAGTGTTGGAGCATATTGGTTTGCTGGCAATATTCAGAAACAATGCCATATTTTTATCACTTCCTATGAGTTATCCTCAGCTGGCATGATAGTAGCATAGAAACTTGTAGAAAATGGAGTAGTAATAAAAAAAAACATCTGAATTTTTTATTTTTTTTTACAAATGTTGATAAAATTGCATTTAAAAATAATAGTTCTGCATCAGATGCATAATGTGGCTGCTCCTTGTGAATGTGGGATGTCTGTGCCATGAATTCTCAACATGGATTCACCACTGAGCTTTGTGGCTGCAACAAATCCACAGTGTGGATGTCATTTTATGGCTACTGTGCAAGAGTTTCAGTTATTGTGTCATTATTTACATGGTTTTGTTTACAGCCTTTCACACATAAGTGACTGCAAAAATTAACAACTGAGAGGCAAAATGTGCAATTATATTTAATGAGAGGAAAAATGAGGCAAAAAAAAAAAAGAACAACTTACAATAAACAGATTATCACTGTAGTGGACCATGACTCTCACAAGATTTTCATATTCATTAGCTTTTGTCACTGATTCTGAAGTACTAATTTTATCTCGCATTTTAAACAGCACTGGGCCAAGTTTGACACCAAGATCTGCTTCTGTTACTTCTTGTTTACGAACAGAATAGTGTAAGGCAGCTAGTAAAATCTATAATTAGGGGAAAAAAAAACAATAATAGAATTTATGTAAGATGAAAATGTTGTTCTTATGTACTTGTTACATAACAGACCATGCAAAAAATCTTGTGATTGTCACTTACTTAATAGATCAATCAACCAATCAAACATTTATAGTTAAGTATTGGCAATGGTTTACTTTTCGAATATATTTCTAGGTAGGTTGACAGAATCAATGGATTAAGGCATCTTTAGTGCCATTCACATTAAATATCAAAAAATTATTTATTGTAGCAGACACAAAAGATTATTGTTAAATCTGTGTGCTGTAATAATATTTTACCACGTTTATCTATGGATATGAATTAGTTGAGTGTTAATGCACTCTTCATTGCTGCTGAAAATTATTAGTTTCCAAAAACAGAATTAAAAACATGTTTGGTAACAACAGGGAAGTAGCATACTTATTTGAACCTTAAGTTATAATGATTTTAATATTTATTTGATTTATCCTTTCAGACTGTTCTTTGGAGAATTGTTGGTTGGAAAGAAAAATCCATCATCAACATCAAAAGGAAGTTGGTACCAGTACTTTTAGGATGAAAGCTGTTTACAGCAAAGCTAAATACTGATGTGATAGGAACTTGGCTTACACTGAAAAACGACTCCATTTTGAGAATAGGGTGAGCCCAAATTTTGTGCTAGTGACAGAAAGTCTTTTTCCTTTTAAAATGGCATAAACTACAATACAGTCCATTATTTAAAATTCCAAGTGTCAGATTGCTTTTAGCCACCAATGAATAGGCCTATAGAACCCAATTAATCTAGGATTCTTACCTGTAATGTTTCTCTATGTGCTGGCTCCATCATGAGAAAATAGAGATTCATAGCCTTGATTTGTTTATCCAGGAAAGATAGAGCTATGGTACAGAAAGGCAAGGTTAATCATTTTTATTTTTATTATTTAAGTTGGTAAATAACTAGCCAAAATATCTCCAAAATACTTAAAGAAAACGAGGAAAGAGAATTTAAAAGAAATTTATGTGTCTCTCAAAAGACATCTAAATGGGAATTTTATAAAGTACATTTCTTGAAAGTATGTTTTGTCAAGTATCTAAATGGGAATTTTATAAAGTACATTACTTGAAAGTATGTTTTGTCAAGTATCTTAAGTAGATGGAAGTTCACGCGTTGCTTGCTGGACTATAACTCGTAGGGATCATAATCGTAAACATAAAATTTAAATAAGTTCAGAAGATGTTTCTTCATTTGACAGAAACAATCAACTTTGTGCATCTAATACCAAACACTGTATGTGTCAGTTCCATGGCAAAACAATAAGTTCATGAAACGACTCACAACAAACTTCTGGATAGACATCAACTTTAGTTGTAGACACAAGCGGTGCTGGTAGTTGCTTTAAGAATTCTGTCATGACGACAGCAACATCAACCGGAGTATATTTCCTATCTATAGTGTAGTTAGGGTTTTTATAGAAATTGTCTTCTAAATCCTTGCATAGTTCCTGGAGGGAGACACGAGTTGACAAAGAATTAAAAAAGTAAAATGAGCTGTGACAAGACTACAAGGTTGTACAACCAAGAAACACAAATATATATAATATATATATATATCACAAATTTATTAGAGGTGTGACATTCTTTCTATTCAATCACATTAACAGGATTAAAAATAATTAAAAGTAGATTGGAAAAGAAGTTAAATGACAAGGAATCAAACACTGGACCATTGGCAGGCAAGTATTCTATCAATACATATCAGGGAATCAAAGATTGGACCATCGGCAGGCACGTAGTCTACCAATACTTATCAAGATGTGAACTTCATGCAGAGCTCAAACTAGGCATCATGCACATTTTTACTATGTGACTATGTGCTATAGACAGATCTAACTCAAAAGAGATCCTCAACATTTGTTCATCAATTATTATAAAGTTAATTAGGTAAATACCATACTAAAAAAATGTAGGCTATCTGCCGCTATCAACACAAAAAAATGCCTCTTAATATATTGTGTTTTATAACCATTTGGTTATGTATCAGTGATAGTATCAGTAAATTTATTATTAATGATTCTAGTATTGGAGTCCTGTGTCCAACCAGATATTTTATTGATCTTATATTTCTACCTGTAATGAAAATTTGAACGTGACTTATTAAATAATTGATTCAAAAACTCTTCTGAAACTTGCCAAAGCCGAGTCAAAGCAAACAAGCAAAACTATTCATACCTTTGTTATCTGAGTTGCAGATTGTTTTACAAAAACCCCTTCAGTGCTATTCCCAGACTGGTAAATGTAGGACATCATCTTTTAGAAAGTAGTGAACAAGAAAACTTAATACCATATAGTACAGCATCTTTTGGAAGCACTAGCATTGACGAACCAGAAAAGTTAACACGTAGTTAAATAAGAAAACTTAATACCATGTAAGAAGGACTTCATCTTTTGGAAAAGTATTTAAAAAGAGAAGTCAATCCACAGCTCTTGATTGGTCAGCATCACCTTTTTTTTTTTTTACACAGAGTTAGTTGTTAATATGATAATGCCAAAAATTATTTCACACTAATAAAGTGTAGGTTCAAAATTTAATGTTTCTATTCCCAATAAAAGCACAATTTTTTTTTTCTATTCCAAATAAACTTAACTTCCTACTTCCAATAAAAAATCACACATTTTTTATTCCTCCAAAAAGCACTAGTATATCTATTTCCAATAACCAAATTTCTATTTCAATCAATTTTACATAAAATGCTGACAATGTTCCAATACAGTGAAAGATTTTGAAAATGTGTGAGAACATAATGGTGATTTGTGGAAAGAGCTTAGTTGCTAAGAGGTTAGTCCACACACAAAAAAGATTTCCTTTTCAAAAAATTTAACATAAATTTGTATTTACCAAATGAACTACAGCTGGGATCTTTGATTTGGGTTTAATTCTGTTTAATTTTAAATCCTTCTCTACAAGGACTGAAAGAGCTGTGGAAAACACTCCTTTATCTGAAACAAAGGATAACATTAGAAATAGTTGTAACAGGTAAGTCTTTGCATCAAACGACAAGGAGTCTTAAAGGGCTATAGAGAATTTTAGAGTAATTAAAATTCAACACTTATTTAAAGCTTTCCCCCCCTCCCCCCCCCGTTACAAAAAAATAGAAAAAAAAAGATAGTTCTTTAATTTTGTTACTTCACTGTTTTTGTTTTTTTTGAAATGCAATTTACAAATTTAAATAAATATAAAAAAGGTCATAAATCAACTAACACATGTACTGTTTTTTTTTTTTTTCAATTTACCAAGCACTTATCAAATTCAGTTTTTAGCAAATTTTGTAGGGTAGAGGTGGGAAAGGGGATTATGTGGTTTTAATAATAAAACTCATAAATTCTTCACCTTAAGAATATTTCCCTCTATCTTTAATTTTGTTACTTCACTGTTTTTGTTTTTTTTGAAATGCAATTTACAAATTTAAATAAATATAAAAAAGGTCATAAATCAACTAACACATGTACTGTTTTTTTTTTTTTCAATTTACCAAGCACTTATCAAATTCAGTTTTTAGCAAATTATGTAGGGTAGAGGTGGGAAAGGGGATTATGTGGTTTTAATAATAAAACTCATAAATTCTTCACCTTAAGAATATTTCCCTCTCTATATGATTCACATAAACCTTAGAAAAAACGACATTTAGGGTATAGGAAAATTGTATTACTTTTGAGTGTGCTGCATTTTCTTGATTCCAGAAATATGCAAAAACAGAAAAACCATTTGAAACTCGCATGACTTTAAAAAGAAATTGAATAATGATAAATTAATATCAACCAACCTTTGGTAGACGGGCTAGATTTACTTTTTTTATATTTGACTTTGTTGGCCTCAAGTAGTGATTTGAAGTGTTCTTTAGCGATGTATTTAATCCTTTCCACATCTTCATTGTTCAAGTCTCTAGTGAAAGTTGCACCAAGCTTGTCAACAGGTGGAGTGTAACCCTTTCAATGAAAACTCTTTTACTTAAAAACATGTGTAAGCTATAGAGACTGTAAACACTTTATGCTTAATGTTAGTATCAGGATATAATTCTTTGGCAAAGAAATGTATTATCCATCTAAACTTGTAAAAATCTTATTCTCAACATTTAATTTTGTTTTAGATATTTTACACATGCAGACTTTCTTTTAAAATAAAAAGATTTTACCCTCATTATAGGTAATCAAATTACCATGCAAACAAAGTCACCTACTGGTACATTAGAAATAAACTTTATTGACAATTAACTCACAAACTTTATGGTTTTTCTACTTACAGGTAATTCAGAAGGAATTGAATGGTAACGAACAGGTATCAAATGTTGACCAGAGTAGTTAACAGACAAAGGCCCAAGACTACGCTTCAAATAAGCAAGGACGTCATGTCTTCCATAACCAAACAAACCATCCAGGAATCTTCCATTCTGATGATTGTTTGGCAACCAGTTCAGTGTTGACAGTCTTGAGGCCTTGGGTACAAAAAAATCAACAGTTTTTTGGATGCATTTTTTAAAACAAATTTTCACATACTTCCAAATATCTTTACATTAATTTAAGTGCAATGTGATCCACACATTTTTAAACTGATAATTCTTTTATTTGCTACTTTCCAATTTAATTAATGCTTACAAAACTCAAAGAAACATCAAGTTCAGTCATGGAAATTTGGGAACAAATGCAGAGATATATCGAAGAATAAATTAGGTAAATGCATCATAACATTTTTTTTTTTTGGTAATCAAGTGAAAGAACTCATACACTTGTTTCACATCATTTAAAAATTGAGCACCCTCCTAAAATTACAGATGAACATTAGGTTTAAGATCAGATGTTTTTCTTTTAGCTTCAAATTTAGATTTTAAAGATCTGCATCTAAATGAAAATCAACTAGATGGAAACAACTTGTAGATTGTTTTCTTTAGATTTATAGCATTTTAAAAAAAATGCTACTTTTTTTCCCCAAGCAATATTTCCTCTTGGATAAAATAATATTCTCTGGCATGCCCCTCTTCTTTTAAGCTTTTCTCACTACCAATAAAGCATAGGCCATCCACAGTACTTTTCCAACTGTCCCTGTTCTGGGCTATCTTTGCTAGTTCAGCCCAACTCTTCATTCTCTTCACTCTGCCTCAAATCCCCTCTTCCATGTGCCTCTTGATCTTCCTCTTTTTCTGGTACCTTGAGGATTCCAGTTCAGGGCCAGTAATGTGATGTTAGTGTTTGGTTTTCTTAAAGTGTGCCCTATTCATCTCCATTTTCTCTTTTCCACTGGAACACTTGAAGTTCTCTCCCAAAGGACAGTGTTACAAATTTTGTACAATCACTTTTTTGAGGATCCTTCGCAAGCATCTGTCTATAAACATCTACATTTTTTTAATGTTTGTTTTTGCTGTTCTCAAAGTTTCACAGCCATACAGAAGAAGTGCCTTGACCTTTGTGTTGAATATTTTTAACTTTTTTGTTGTTATTATTTCACTCAAGTTCCAAATGTTTCCCAGGGCATTGAATGCTCCTCTGGCCTTTTAGACTCTAGACTTTATGTCCTTATCTGTCCCACCATTTTTATTTATGATGCCTCCCAGGTATGTAAAAGTTTAAACGTCTTCAAGAGACACTCCTCTAGTTAATCCCAATGACCCCATCATCTGCTTATTCTTAAGGTCTTGTTTTCCCTTTATTTATGCCAATTCCAACTTGCTGAAATACAGAGTCAAATTTATTTGTTTTCTCCTGCATTTGTTTATGACTGTGGGATAAAAGTGTGATGTCATCTGCAAAATCCAAATCCTCCAAATGTCTGAAAGGTGTCCACTGGATTCCATTTTCCCCATCCTGCATAGTTTCTCTTTTGATACAGTCAATGGGTACCAGAAAGAGGCATCCCTGTCAAATTCCAGATTCTGTCATAAATGGCTTTGTGAGTTCACCTTTATATTTCCTAACTCTTTGAAATATTCTAACCATCCTTTCTTTTGTTCTTCTTTGTTAGTTAGGTTTTTCCACCATTTGTCTTTGATTTCCCAGCTTTGTTGATGAAACTTTCCCGTCAGCCTCTTTGTTGCATTGTACAGGTCCTTTAGGTTACCCTTTGATGCAGCCTCTTTGGCAATGTCGTCAATAAATCTCCTTTTATCCTTCCTCATAGTCTTTGTAACCTCTTTATTGGCATTTGTTTAGTTATCAATTCAGTCACTTTTGCTGCTCTTGTTTTGCTCTCTAAATAAATGATCTTCTGTCTTTTCCTCTCTTTAATTTTATCTGTTTCTTTTTTGAGAACTACTCTTTAGTTTGATATTCTTTTTTCCTTTATACTTCTTTGCATGTGTTTGTACAAATCCCTCTAATATCTTGCCATTGATCTTCTCCGTCTCCATTTATGTTCTCGAGCTGTTGCACAGCCTCGAATCTGTTTGATACCGTTATTCCACTCTTTTTTGCCTTTCTGGATCTTTAAGGAAATCTGTATTATAGCGCTGTCTTTTCTTTTGGATGATATTCTGTCTTAGTTTTAGCATTGCTTTCGCTATCACCAATTTATGGTCAGATAAAACGTTTACTCCTCTATAGGCTCATGCATCTGGCAGTGAGTGTCTGAACTTTTTATTGATACATATGTGATCAATCTAGTTTTGGGTCTCATAGTCTGGTGATATCCAGGTCACCTTAAGGATCTACTTGTGTGGAAATGAGCTGCCTCCTATTACCAGGTGATTATTTGCACAAAAGTCTGAAAACATCTCTCCACTTTCATTCATGTTTCCTAATCTGTGTCTTCCCTTTAATTCTTCAAAGCCAGTATTATTGTTTCCTATTTTGGCATTGAATTCCCCCATGATAATATGATAATAATGATACTGAAGTTTTTGATGGAAATCGTCTAATATCGTCTCCTATTTGTCATTTGTTGGTGTATAAATTTGGATGACATTTAGGTTGATTATCCATTCAATCACAGCCTTCTTTTCAGCAGATGACAGTATCAGAGCTGCTCTGGCATCTTTTTCTTCATGACCAGAGTATAAAATGGTCTCTCCAGATGTTAGTTTGGTGGATCCATTTCCTGTCCATCTTGCTTCACTTATTTCTAAGATGTCTACTCTGTATCTCCTCTGTTCCATAATTACTTGTTATGTCTTCCCCTCCTCCCACATAGTTCTAACATTCCAGGTACCAATCCTGAAAATTTTCATCAGCATTAGACAGGAAGTCAGCAAGTTGGCTTCCTTTTGTGTTTGGCTAACCTGCATCGTAGTCCCCTTATGAGGACCTTCCCTCGCTGGGTGTGGCAAAAATTTATTGGTTGTGGATGTTTTCGTAGCGGTAGCTGAATTTCTTGCAATGAATGGGTTGCTAGCCAAATGCAAAGCATGATACAATAAGTCGTCTCGTACTTGCTTGGCAGTGACTTATTCTACTCCAATATTAGGCCCTGTAGGTAGCTCAATGTATGCATTTATCTCAAAATTATTTAATTAACTTCAACAAAATTGAATTGAAACATAAAAATGACTTAGACACTTCTATAATGGTTTCAAATTTTCTGAAAACCAGTTTTTTCATCTGCATTTGTTTTTCATCTGATTAAACAAACAAAAAATGTAAAAGTTATGTCCAACCTGTTTGTTTCCTTTTAAGAAAATCTTGTTTTTAAATTGAACCTGACCAAAAGTTGATTGGATAATTTTGAGTCTTTCAGAAACATGATCTTCAGCTGAATGTGATGACGGTTGTTCCCGTTCAAAACCTGTTTGTTAATAAAATTTAAGTCAATTTAATCATAATTTTATTTATATAATAGTTATTCAAGAAATAGGTTTTTAAAAAAAATGAGAATTCCATTTGCATGGCAGCGTATTTATATATTTTTGTTTAACTTAAATAATCTGAAAGACTCTTAAACAGTAGGCTAAATGATAACCGGGCTTAGTAAAAATCTGTGGGTGCTTCAGAACAGAAAGGAACATGACATTGTGATTTGTTATAAAAAATATAAAAAAGCTAAAAAGGGTGTGGGTGAGTGGCGGATACACCTTTTGTTAGGTACAAACCTTACCTCAAAATTGTAACCTGAATTGTAAAGCTTTTTGTCTAATTAATATAGTATATACTATAGTATAGAATTCTATACTATAGTAAATTATTAGGTATACCGTAATATTAATTATTAATTTGTAGTAATTCAATTTCACCAGAACATAAATTAATATAATATAATGTGAATGTGGCATTTGGAACAGGGTGTGAATGGTAAATCTAATTTTGGAAGGGGTCTAGATTAGGGTGACCAAATCATGAACTGGAAAAAACGTGACTCACCCAAGTAGGGTTTTAGGGGATACCCTCCAGCTAAAGAGGAGTCCGGGAGGCCTCAACCCAAAAGTGTTTATTGAAATATGCTCATTTTAACTATTTTCTGTTTCCGTTTCTGGCCTTATATTTAGGTAGACATCTTTGCTACATTTACATTGATTTGTTTTAATTTTTCAATCGACCTGTATTTTGAGATTCCCCTTTAAATATCTTTCACTATAAAATTGGTATAGAAGTTCAACTTTTATGTCTTTAAAAAAAAGTATTATTCTGTATTAGCTATCGATGTCTATTTGTTTCAATTCTCATTGAGTTAGGACATGTCGGTCACTTGTTATGCTCACTTGAGTAAACCCCTAAATGGTAATGTAGCTCAGCCCAATTTCGATAAGGAAGTGGCCACGCCCCCCTTTCAGTGACGGAAGATGCCGTTACTTAGGAAATATTTAATTATTTCCACTATTTGCATCAAAATATTTGATAACTTATGTTTTAGAATGAATTTGAATGTTATTGAATTTAAGAATAATATTTTAATTTGAGGTTAAAAAACCCTCAGCACTTCCTCCAACAATAAAATCAACAAAGGGGAATGACTCCTGCACAAAAATTAAATAAACACGCAATGACGTCATGGCTACAATTTATCTATAATTGTTAAAATTATAAAACTAATTTTTTTAATGCAGCATTAGTTCTGAAAATAAAATTATCATTAAAACAAGAGTTATATAGCTCGTGACGCGAACAGCGGAATTGTGTCCCAGAAAATGGAGATGTGGTCCATGGTGTTAAAAAGGACAAATTAAGTCCTACTTTAAAAATTCATAACTTTAAAACTACAACAGCTAAAAATATGATTTTGGTATTATAATTCTTTTAAAAATTAGCTCTATTCAACTATGACATTGTTTTATTTTTTTAAAAAGTTTCAATTTGTTATCAAAGTATCTATACACAGCTAGCCAAAATATTACTTGAAGTTACCGACTTTTTCGGGACCCCGGGACGATCGTGAAAAAAAACGGGACAATCCCATTTTTACGGGACATTTGGTCACCCTAGCCCTACTCTAGATAAATGAATGTAATAGGAGGCAGTCCAAAGAAAAGTAGGTAAACTCTGATCACTAGTAATAATTAATAATTCTAAGTAGACCTGTTTAGTGATTATTTTTAAACTGAACGGCGGGGTAGCACAGAGACAATAGCATCATTAACCGGAAGTAAGCGAAATGAAAAATAAGTGTAATTAGCGGAACATCCAGAAAAACTGTTACAAATGCATCTGCTCACTCTGGTTAGTCTTGTTTACATCACAGGCAATAGCTTGATTTTTAAAGTGAGTAATTATTGGTGTAAGTTGCCGATACGGAAAGGTACCAGCCCGTTGCTTCAAGAAAAACAGCATGTTCGCCATGGCAGTCTGCAAAAATATGTAGAGGTGTATCAATAAATAGGCCTATGTCACTCCTCCAGACACGACTCGGCCGAGAAAGAAAATTTGATGACGTGGTCGACGAATTTGAAATTTTGGTTTCAAGAGTTTAGTGTTTGTCTTCCCTTTGTTACACTTGCATCATTTCAATATGCTACTTTGTTCCTTTTATCCCACGGGTCCTCAACCTTTTTTATGGAGACCTGTTCATTGTCCCTAGGACACGGATTGGGTCCGGACTATAGTTGGAAAAAAATATTTGCGAGTTTCTATGCATATTTTATTTTTAGTTAGTTTTTTTTTTTTTTTTTAAACCTTAACACATTTTCCAATTTTTTACGGATATTCTAAAGTCGTTAACGGCATACATGCATATACGGACAAGCCATTTTAGGTCATTACGTCATTATGTTTGAATAAAGAGTCCGTTAATTGACGGACTGTTTGGCAAACCTGGTCATAATAACAATTTATAATAAGAGGGATAAAAATCATACTCGTAGTGACAGGAAAATGAATACGCCAAAGACGTTTTGCCTCTATACAACTTACAAGTTGTGCCGTGTCGAGCAGTCTTGTGTTGAAGCTATTTCCTGATTTCCATTGTTTCGATTGATAGCTAGACTTGTCACCAATAAGCCCTGTCCACTTCTATTTTATAGAATAGCATTAAAATTGTCATTTTTATATATTTTTTTAAAATGTAATAATTATAATTAATTGAGTACTTTTATATTGGGCTACAATAAAATTGTGAACACCCTTCGCCCCCCCCCCCCTCAACTTTGTTCAACCACACAAATAAAAAAAAAATTTGTATTTTGTTTTTTATTTTTTAACCAGAAATAAATTTCGTTTTTTTTATTATAGAATAGCATTAAAATTGTTATTTTTATATATTTTTTTAAAAAGTAATAATTTTAATTAATTGAGTACTTTTATATTGGGCTAAAATAAAATTGTGAACACCCTTCGCCCCCCCCCCCCTCAACTTTGTTCAACCACACAAATAAAAAAAAAATGTGTATTTTGTTTTTTATTTTCTAACCAGAAATAAATTTCGGTTTTCTTTATTAAAAAAAATGTTTAAACTTTACCTAATTTTACTAATTATTGCGCATGACACACATTAAAATCTTTATGATTATCACATAAAAAATATTTCTTAGCCTGTTGCCTATTGGTCGATCTCAAAATCAAATTACATATTTAAGGAATAAACTTAAAAATATGGCCTATTTATCTATTGTTTAATGCTTTAAGTAATATGAGTATTAAGAGTGTGATTAGGCCCTACTGGCCTACACTTAAAAGTTTTAGGTCTTTATTTTCGGCTTGAGGAGGAGAAACTTTTTTTTTTCGAATTTCTTTTTCTATTCTATTTTTATTAAATATAGGAGCCAATGTTTTCGTCTTCCTCCTATTGGGCCACTTGTGCAGCGTTCTCAATCTTTGTAGTGCGGCAGTTCTCAACCTGTGGGTCGCGACGTCTTTGGGGGTCGAACAACCCTTACACAAGGGGTCGCCTAAGACCATCGGAAAACACATATTTGTAAAGTAGCAACAAACAGATTTTATATTACAACATAAGGAACTGTGTCAAAGGGTCACGGTGTTACGGGGGTTGACAATCACTGTTTTAGTGCATTGACCCCCTTAATAATATTTTCCAAGTTGGGTCGACCCAAAGTGTTGGGGAATGCGGGTGACTGTAAATTGCTTAATGAAGTTTGATTACTGAGACACTAGTCAACTTACCTTAAACAAAATTTAAAATTCAAGATGATACAAATAAGATAGGTCTGATAACAAACCCCATCAAATTTCTTAAGTTCTCTAGAGACCGGAGTCACATTTTCAGAAGAGTCTCTTATTTTTCCCGAAACTAATGGCATAAAACTTAGTTGTGATCTAGCCCTAACATTATTTATCTTGGTATTCTCAGCAATTCATGATCATGTTGCGAGAATGCCCAACAGTAGACTTCCTAAACAAAGTTCGGTGACCTCTCCAGGGGGAAACCCTCACCTGGTGGGCAGAAAAAAAAACGTTTTGAGCGTAGACCAAATTTAGTGGGAGACACGTGCCATGGTTCATACAAACTGGTGAGGCAGCCTCACTGTTTGAGCACAATTCTCAGTGAGAAAGCACACAGCAAGGAAAAGATATTTACAGGCACAAATACGCCTGGCAAGCCACCTACGAACTCACCGTTGAACACAGCCTTGGTCATCTTCGCATGCAAAGGACGAAGAACAACACATTGTCAAGCAACAACCATGGTAGTCATGACCCACATTTTGAGAACCACTGCACTAGTGCCAAGGGCCATTACCATTTTAACTAAAGATTTTTTTCTTCAGAATTTTTATTCTTTTTGTGTTTACAGATGGGGAAAATGTTGGGGGGGGGGGGGGGGGGGGGGGGGGGTGTTAATGATAAATTAGAAAAACACTAATTACTTAATCATAATAAAAAAATTTCATTGTCCAAGTTTTTTGACTAATGAACAAAATAATTGCTCTTAGTGTTAGCCTTATCAATTTAGATAGATTATACTTTATTTCCTTATGAAATTCAGGTGATTTTTTTGTTGCTTTTTTTTTTGGTTAAAATTTTTAATAAAAAGGTAGAAATACAAAAAATTGAGTACTTGGTTCAAATATTAGGTGTACTTATTTATTAAGGCTATAACTATAAATTGTTTCTGTTGGATATACCCAATATGCTGGGGAGTAGGTTGGTATCTGAAGATGTACTTTTGTTACATTTACATTATGAGTAGTAAAAAGTATAAAATTATCAAAATTAATAATGCAAAAATTAATGGTGATATATTTTATGGATGTCTGTTTGAATCAACATTGTAGTTAAATTTAATAACTGAATTGAAATTTCCTCTATATATTCATGACAGAACACTGCACATCATTAAATAATTGAACAAACAATTTCCTTATGATTGCTGTTTATTGATCAGATGATAAATGTGGTGTGCATAGTTACACTAGTCACTCTACTAGATGTAATCCAAGTCACTCCATTTGTAACAATCAGTGCAAAAAATATTTTTAAAAGTTAAAAAAAATAGTTTCTTACTGCAAATTTTAGTACATTACTTTGGTGAAAATGGTTCACTTTTCATACAACAAAGAAATTTTTAAACACAATATTGACTGCCCTATTGTATTTTTGATATTAAATGGGTACTAAATGTACTTATGTTAGTACATTCTACTTTAGTGAAAATGCTTCACTCTTCATGTAGCAAAGAAATTTTTAAAAATAATATTGACTGCCCTATTCTATTTTTTGATATTAAACAGATGCTTAACCTACACCTTAGTTAAGTTAGCCACACTTTATAATGGATGTTGTGTTCCATGGCCATCGATCACTTGAATAGTTTAAATTTTTTAACCACATGTGAAGGTGGTTTTCCAAGAGACTTCACTATCCAGTAAGCTTTGGGGTTAGCTTTGTAGACATTCAGCAAATTTGTATCAGGATGGAGGCATCTTTCACCTGAAGTAGAAAAGAAATATTATAACAGTATAATAAGTATTAATGATTAACATAATGTAATGTCCTTACATTTGATTTATAATATTATATTATAATAACTGGTAAATACAGGTACTCCACATGGGTAAATTCCGCTCCTCCCTGTGGGTGTTTTGGAAAATTGGTCAAAAAGAGAATTTATACTGAATAAAGGAGAAGTCTAAAGTTAAGTTCAACTTGATAAGTTGTTTTTTTAAAGCTGTCATTTTATACATATTAAATTATTATTGTAAATTAATAATGAAAAAGAAATCTTAATGTTTTTGGAAAAGTAAGATGTAATTTAATTTGGTCAATATCCCCATGCTAGAGAGTAATGGATATGGATTACTTAGTGAGTAAGGAGGGAGTCACTTAGGTGATACACAGTCAACAAATTATGCTATTTCAGTTCATTTGGAGGCTTCAACTGAACATTATCTCAAGCCTCAGTTCTTCAAACCATCAGTGATTTTAAAGCAATTTATCTGCACTATTTTCTTTTACCTTAATAAGAAAAACGTTTTAATATGTTGGGAGGTGCAGGTGACTTTTCCTCAATAAAATGAAGTCTTGGGTCACTTTGCCATTAAAAAATTGGCTTCCTACTAAGAAACAAGTTGGGTCCTGCGATCTAACGCAAACTTTTGACGGCCTTCTTTTAAAATCTTTTGGTCTTTTTGGTAATTTATAAAAAGCGGATGCAGTTCACTGAATACAACGAATACAAGAAGGAATTTTGCTTAAGGCAAGGCATAGAAACCAAATGCTCATGGTCAATTAAAAAAAATTCTATTTTAAATTTGGATTTACTACAGTATTAAATCTTGGCGCATACAGTCTTAATAATTAAGACTTATACATTAATGGGAAACAAATTTATAAAAGATTTTAAAAACTTTTAAATTACCCATGTTCCCACCAACTTCATACAAATATTGCTTTGCTTTTTCATCTCCACGTTCAAAATCTTGCCTGTTTTGGTTAAAGACAAAAAATATTATAAATTTTTATACTGTAATTTGTATAGTAAAAAGAAATTCATAAAAATATAACACCCCCAGTTATTAATTATAATTAAGGAAATAACGATGTAGCAAGTCTCAGACTAAAAGAAACTTACTTTTTAAATTAAATATTGAGCGTAACATTTTACACATTTTAAAATCTAAATTAAAAAATTAAATCAATTAAATGTATGACTTGGAGTACACACACAAGCACCTTAAATATCTTTAAGTTATCTGGTTTTGGTTTAATATTTACGTAGTGAAGTAACATGAGGATACGGTTCCAACAGGTTGCTCTGCACCGCCCACAGCTCCACCCACAGCTCCACCCTCAGCTCCACCCACAGCTCCACCCTCAGCTCCACCCACAGCTCCACCCTCAGCTCCACCCACAGCTCCACCCTCAGCTCCACCGGCCTCGGCTCCACCGGCAGCAACTGCACCATCAGCCGGAGGATTACTGTTTGAAAAATAAAATAATATTTATATTTTTTAAATTAAGAAACTCATTTTAATCATAAAATGTTCAAAATCAGTCCTGCCTAACTTATATCTCATGTAAATATGCAAATCCTTTCTAAGTTTAGTCAAAGGGGAATAACTCCATTTCAAAATGTAGGCCTATCATATTTGATTTGGTAACGTAAATAAAATAAATGTAAAGCTCCACCACAGCCTGTAGCTAGTCAGGGTAAAGGAGGATGACTGAACATGCCCACCCCACACCCCCTTCCTTTTTTTTTCAACCTGTACCCACACTCTGAAACACTTCTACTACAGAAATAAAAACAATGCAAAATTGCCATCAGAACTGAATAAGGGAAGGTTACTGAACTAATTACGAGATGGGAAACCATACAGGGTTATGAGACTGAAGAATGTTTGGCCTTGTTCGTAAAATGCCACCAAACTCACTTCCAGAATAGCACCAAGATATACAGACCAGTTTTAAAAAAACTTCAGAAGACCAAAAAGAACTGATGCAGAGCAATAAATAAGAAACCAGACTCACACACAGGTCCCACAGATGCAGCCAAAAGATAGAACTTCTGTTAAAAGTGGTGTTCTTTGACCATCAACACAAAAGGCCAGCTACATGACAGCAAAGTTTAGTGTACAAAAAAATAAAATATAGTGTCTATAATGTGACCCTCTGAGACAGTTCAGTGGAATTTCAAGACTAGTCTCATTCTGATTTTTATTATGTTTGTATAGATTTAGACGTTGATTTTAATGGTAAAAACTGTTTAAAATTTGACTAAAAGTTTTCATTTTATAGCATTTCATGAGACAAACGTGGCCAAAGTGCGTTTTTTTAAAAAAGTTTAAAAAGTCAGTGAATGGGTACCGCACAACCATGTTGTAAACTGTAGCAATCTGACAGAATCTACACAACCATAATTGTGTAAATCGTAGCAATCTGACACAGTATACAAAAATCCCTAGTAAAATTGCCCTTACTGTTAACGAGTGAGGGAAATTCCGAGCATGTCAGCTAGGTTCCATTTAAAAATAGGGATTAGCCAAAAAGGCCTTTTCTGAGATAAAAAATCAAAATTTATTCTCCCTACAACAGCATCTTCCTTCGCATCAATAATTTATAAATACTGCCAACTGTCTGAACACATATTAGCATTTAAAGCCTTCACGGAGAAGGATGGTGGTTTTTCCTGTACTAAGTGATCCCAAACGGCTCATGGACTTGGTTTTTCTTGTTGACATTACACAGGAGCTGAACATACTCAACAAGAAGTTACGTAACTAGTGGCAGCTTGCCAGTGTTGCCTATGATAATGTCAGGGCATTCTGCACAAAACTGTTAATGGTTCTAAGAGAAATTTCTGACACTTCCCAAAATGAAATGTACTCATAGATTCATGGACACCATTCAGTAGTAGGTATACTGATGCCATTGCAAAGCTACAGGAAGAATTTTATCACATGTTTATAGACTTCAAACCACACAGAGCCACTTTTCGCCTTAATCTGGAAGATGCCCCCATCCCAACCCACCACTTGCACATCAAATATAGCTAATTGATCTTCAGTGCAATTCTAAGTTCAAGGAGAAACAAACAAGTATGGACAATTTATGAGAGCATTGCCCTCCACCTTCACTGAGATTTCCAGGTTGCTCAAGTGTACCATGTGCCTTTTTTGGGAGTATCTATCTGTGTGAAAAGATCTTTTCCCATTATGAAATTTAACAAGTCAAAGTTCAGGGCCAAACTTACTGATGGGCATCTTTAAGCTATACTGAGGGTCTCGGTTGCTTCCTCACTCAAGCCAAATGTTACTCAGCTGCTAGAAGTGCTGGTAGGTCTCTGGCAACAAGGAGTAGGAGGAAGAAGTGAAGCCTAGTTCTTGAGAACCCTTAATATTTTATTTTGTTATTAATAAAGGTTCAGCAGATTGTACCAGTTGTACTTTATTGAATTTGTAATAATTGCTCTTTTTATACTTCATGCGGCCCAGTCTCACTCAGACTCTAGCTCCTGCGGCCCCCTGATGGTTTGAGTTTGAGACCCCTGGTCTAGACTAAAAAAAACTGTTATAGTGAACCACTTACTTTCCTAATACTTCAAGTACAACTTGTTGTGCTGTGTGTGTCACTCCAATTTTTATCTCCTTTGAAGGTTGCGCCTCATAGGGAGTCAGTACAGTAATTGTGGCATCAGTAAGACTTTCCTGTACAATAAAGAAGACATGTTACATCTATTTAAATCTTAACCCACTTATTCCATATTTATACTATACATTATGTTCACTTTCATGACATTCTACCAAGTGTATTTCAGTTAATGGTCTAGCAGAATAACAGTTTTGGAGATTCTTTATTTCTTTAAAGTTTCTAAGCTCTTATACATAGAAGTTTGATGTATTAATTCTTTGATGAAAAATTGTTAAATGATTTAAAATAACTAAATTAGAACAGATTCTAAGAATAATTTTATGAATAACTTTACCAAATTTTCTGGAACAGCTGGAGGTTTAGGTAGTTGAGGAAACAATTTAGAATCCTAGAGTTAAAAACAAAATGACAAAAGTAATGTAATTTAAGATACAATCCCTTAAAGGTAATAAGAGTTGATAGATAAGAAAAGATTATTTATTGATCCAAATAAATGGAGAATTGTACATATTCATTTTCTTTACATAAATAAATTTAAAAAATAATAAATTTAAGCGTCCCAACAGTATGGAGACTGACCAATGGTTGTAGAATAGACCGTGACAAGGCTAGCACAAATGTTACAGTGACAGTAGTGGTTAGCTAATGTCCATTTAAACGGAGGGGGGCGTTAGGTAAATTTTAGTACCAGTTCAGACCTGGGAGAAACGGACCAACGGTTACAGCATATCAGATTACACCGTGATGAGGCTAGTACGAAAGTTACAGTGACAGTAATGGTTAGTTAATGTCCATTTATACAGAGGGGGGCGTTAGGAAAATTTTAGTACCAGAGATGTGGAATTAGATGTAGAATTGGATTAGCCCTTGGGGAACCTCTAGAGATGCCACAACCGAATTCGAGGACTTATAAAAAGGGACTCCCCAGGTCCCCTTCAGATTTTCTGCCCATTGTCAAATAGGTTATATCTTTCTAATATCATTAAAAAAAAAAGTAATATTCATCTGCAAATAGCAAGTCTTCTATATGCATCTGTAGAAACGTTACTTACAAACTTTATTTTAGCTGGTTTGCTACCAAATGATTTCCTCAGATCATTCATTAACAGATCTGATACCTAAATAGGTAATAGAAATCAGAAGGTACAGATCATTTACTAAAATTTCATTCCAATCTTTTAGGACTTTATTTAGTACACAATTTTAATTAAATAGAGCAATCCCCTTTAACCAAGTTAAGAGATAGAAGAAGAATAAACAAAAGCAAGAATAGATTTTATTTGTCTATCAGTTAAAGACTTTTATTGGTGGAATATGAGAGACAAGCCAAGATCTCATTATTAATTTAGAAGTATATTTAACCATCTCTGGATAGATTTAAATATATTTAAAGCCCTTGAAGAGAATTATGACTTTTAAACAATCTCAGGTGAGATTTGATGTTTTTGAGTATATCTGAGGAGATTAACAATTGCTTAACCAACTCTAGAGAGATTTGCATGTAAGAATATCAGAAGAGATTTAAAGCTATGTAACTATTTTTTAGGAGACCTTATCTTATTTAGCTGTAACTGATGATTTTCAAAGGGAGAGATGTAGTTGAATATAAAAATAAGAAAATAGAAAATAAGAAAAAAAGGTAACTTACAATGGAGATGTGCCGGTAGTAATATAACCATGCTGCAAACATCCTGTTGTGTATTTGCATTCTATTTTGTAATTCGTCAGTTTTTATTTTTCCAATTTTAAATACATTTGGTGCGAACACTGTAGCTAAGTTATCAGGACCCATCTTGTTCTTGTCACTGTGGTTTGCCACTTCTTCTAAAAAGCTCAAAAGGTACTAACCAAAATAATATTTTAAAAAATGTTGGTTAGTGAAAATTTCCATTACAAAAGATAATTTTAAAGCACACTATATGTTCACTGTAAAAATATTACGGGAGGATGTAATAATTTCATTCTACAAATGTACAATAGGGCTTGAGGGAAGAAAATTGGTTCATTAAAAAAATTACATTTATCCTCTGATTTCTCTATTAAATTTTTAATTGAATGTAAAGAAAATGTATTTCAATAAGCCAACGTTTTTTCATTATATTCATATTGTACAAGTTACTGCTGTTAAAATTTCATAATATGACTTGTCTTTGGCTTTTGAAAAATATCACAATAATTTATCATTTTTTTTGCATCCTCCACTTTTACATCTATAACAGAAACTAAAAAGTTTTAAAGAAAACAAACAATAATATATAATATGACAAATATTCAAATACATTTACTTGCAAAGAAAATATCAATTTAATAGGATCTTAAACATTACATTTTTTATATCATAATGTGCTCTACACATTTCCCTGCTGTGTTTCTCTGTGCTTTACATTTCCATACCGTGTTTCTCTGTGCTTTACATTTCCATACCGTGTTTCTCTGTGTTTTACATTTACCTGACGTGTTTCTGTGTTTTACATTTACCTGCTGTGTTTCTCTGTGCTTTTAATTTACTTGTAATATATTCAATGTTTTAATTCAGTGTTTCCCCAAAGTTTTGTGGACTGCTGGACAAGTTTGAAACGGTTGCAGGATATAATTATTTTTTCTATTATTTGACCTCACATTATCATGTTGTGCAGACCTGAGCCTGTTAGCAGACTATTGTTGAGATCCTCTGCCCCCCCCCCTCCCCTTTAGTGAGACCCGCTGACTCACACTCGCTCCATCACTACCCCACCTTACACTAATAGCAATGACTCAATGAACAATGGAAATTAACCTGGCCACCTTAACCATGACCCAGCTTAAACAATGCGTTTCTAGTCAGAGCATCAGACGCTTGAATGCAGGACAGGACGCCAAACTTAGAGTATACATTAAAGGGTCCCATCATTTATTGCCCTCTTTCACCTGAAGTTGTCAGTCAGCAGACCCTGGATAGTTATTGTGTTGTGATAAAGTTTGTTTATCCAAAAATTAACTAGGTTCCTATTGTTAATTTTCATATGTTGTAGTTTTATTAAGAACTGTTAGGATTATAGATTATGATTGATTATTAATAATGTGATTTTAATTCTTAGCTATGTCTTGCGCGTTTGAGTTAGTACGAGTACAGTTTGAGTAAGTACAATTAGTATAGTTGACTTTCGTCTCAGTATAGTCAGCTCATTTAAAGTCAGTACAGTTGAGTACAATAGAACTTAGTACAGTCGGTATAGTATACCATAAAGGAAAGACCACTCAGTGCAGTTGAGTCAGTGGAGTCGGTCATTTAGGGTCAGACTAAACAAAAAGAACCAAATGTAGGTGAGGCGTACTACAGTAGCAGAGATGGCACAGTGACCAGTGAGAGGGCTGTGTGTGTCTGTGCCCACCATTAAAGTGTAAGAGTCTACACCTACCATATCGCAGCGCGAGTGACCGGAGACCAGTTACGCCACCGAGAGACTCGCAGTGCGCTGTGACCAGATAGAGAGGCCAAACAAACAAGGCTGCTGCATGTGTGCTGTGGAGCCTGACTGCTACTTAGTCCATCGCAAATTGCATTAAGTATTAGACAGTATTATTAGTCATTGCTTTATATGTGTATGTGTGTCGTTAATTCTGTTTATAATTAAATATTTATTTGTGGCCTGAACCACCTGTGTTTCTTAGTACAGTGATAGCATTAATAGAAGAGAGCGAGTGAGAGTGTCATTGAAGGTTAGAGTGAGTGTGGAGTGAGATTGGTGTAGATTACATAGCCCTAGTGGCATTACTAAGCTACGAAGCTACGTAAAGTAAAACGGGACCTATATAAATAAAAACAATTTTAAACAACCCAAAAGTAACATTTTGAAGAACGCTTTACCTGTAGCACATCTATGCCTTTTATAAATACCTTAATGTTTCTACATGCTCTCTATTTATTTGCAGTGTTCTATATTGATCTGTAGTGTTACTCTCGAGTTCTATATTTACCTGAGTTGTTTCTCTGTGTTCTGGTGTCATGCTCAGCATAAAGTAGTTCATAATGTTATATTGTTTTTTTTTAAAGGGCAATTCTGAAATGAGATGAATTGTTGTTATTCTTACGTCTTTATTAACTCTACAATTAGTTGAAAAAAGATCTAGACAGACATTTGACTTGATTTAACTGGAGAAAAACTGGCAAATAACCTATAATAGATTTTTTTGTGACTATAATAATTGGCATAGTCCTACACCAGAAAGTAATATGTGACCGATAAAACATAAAAGTATTTTAAGCCTTTAACAGTTGAGTGGTCGATACACCAAAAAGAAATTTTAATATTATTTTAAGTAGTACATAAACTGTAAAGTCTTTCTAGCTTACAAAATGTTAATTTGGTCCAGATAAACTCATAACTTTACTATATTAGTTAGTTAATGCTTAATTTGAATATTTTTACTCATACCTTCAATATCTGGATAGATTTCAAATTTTTCGGTTGATATCAGCTTTGCTGGTAGTTCACGCAAATATTCTTTCATTAGAGTTGTAAAGTCATGAATATCATATTTGGATGTATCTATAACAGCAGGATCATAGAATTTTTTTTCCAAAATGCTTTTTAATTCCTGTTGGAAGGATAATATTTTAACCTGTTATGCATAAAGAATACTCTATTACCTGTCATAACAAACAAAAAATTGCTTTACTGCTGGCACTCTTAATAATTATGACCTGAGAGAAAATTTAAGTGTTTTCTTTTAAAATCTTAAGACTACAGCGTTTGCCAATGGATGTTACAATACAAATATCAGTCACCCGTCTAATTGCAATAGTTCTAATGTCAGTAGCTGATCAGAAAGGAGTTTTGCTCCTCCTCCCCCCCCTTCCCAATTAGAACTTACTGTTATATCCTGTTTATTGACCTAAGTTTTGTTCACCACATTCACCACCCCCACCCCCCAACCCAACCCCCTTTTTTGACATTGAGGTCACTGATTAAATGTGTAGCTCTCTACTACATTTTCCTCTCCCTTAATTGTGAAAAGATTGTTTACATTCTATTTTGCCCTAAAGAATGCATTTGTTGATGCAATGCAAATTTCAAGAGGTTTCTTTGCTAGATTTCTTAGACACTAGACACATTAATATACTTATAGGAGAATTACAAGATTTTACTCTTTGTGTGTTATATTAATATTTGTATATTTTTAGGATTATACTTTTTAACTTGCTGTGCTGTAAGTTAATATAGTTTTTATTTCTGTCTTTTTTTAATTTTGTATTTTTAAAATTCATTTAATATAATAAAATTCTATTTTGGTAAGATCACTAGCTTTGGTATTGTTTTTCCGTGTATACTGGTTTCCAGTCCTTTGTTACGTTTTGTTCAACTTAGGAGCAAAATCTTAAAACTGATACATTTTGCAGAACCATATAAGACCTACACTCTCCCAAGGGTAACTCAGTGGTGAGGAAATTATATTTATTGAGCATGAAACGACCTCTAAGATCCCTGTACAGGTAGCACCTCAAATTTGGTTAAAGCAACTAAAATATTTTCTTCCAATAGATATCAGGAGTAACCAAACTTGTTACTTAGTTTTTCTTAGAAGGATCATAGTCTTATTATTTTCTATATAAATATTTAAAGATATGTGTGGATATGAAGCTAAATATTGATCTAAAATTTTGAGGGGCTCTAATTTTTTTTGAAAGGGTCTTAAACACTCTTGCTGCTCAATAATGTCTATAATTTAATGTCAAAAATATTGGTCCCACACGATTCTTAATTTTTTTTACCTTAAGAAAATTGTAATTTTAGGCTCCGCTTTGTTACTATGTAATTTTTGCTCACTGCCAAATGTTTGGTGGTACAACATAGGTGTTGGTATATGTTTGATGCTACATCATAAGTGTTGGTACATGTTGGATGCTACATCATAAGTGTAGGTACATGTTTGGTGCTACATCATAGGTGTTGACACATGGTGGTACATCATGTTTTGTTGGTACATCATAAGTGATGACACATGTTTGGTGGTACATCATTAGTGCTGGTACATGTTTGGTGGTATATCATAACTGTTGAAACATGTTTGGTAGTACATCATAGGTGTTGATACATGGTTTATAGTACATGGGAAGTGTTGGTGCATGTTCAATGGTGTAGTTATCATCATCAGGTCATTAATGCCAGTATTTAAACTAAAAAGACACACTTGAAGCTGGTGGAAAGAATTATAACAACATCTCACCTGTATTCTGGGGTGAGAGCCAGACATCCGGAATATTCCTACTGTATCCAAATCTCTTTGAACAATCTCCGTGATGAACTGACAGAGAAGAACAAGGGGAAAAAATTGTAACATTTAGACATATTAAATAAAGTAACAATCAATTTCTTTATCCCAATGCTTTACTTCAAAACAAATAAATATTTCACTTACCATAAGGCCTAAAAAACTAAACTTTGATATAATTTGTACATTTCCCCCCCAAAAATCAAATTAGAACATTTTATAATGGTTTAAGTCACGAAGTGTTACAATCCTTACTGACTAGAATAGTGAATCAATGATGTCATTTTTACCTAAAACTTGATTTAGAATTAAATCAAGAATTTTTAAGGTTGTACCACATGGTAATGGCAGAGGATCAAAGTATAGTTACCAGGGTGGTAGAGAGGAATTGTGAGGGTGGGGGAGGCAAAAGTGTCTACAAGTAGGGTAGAGTGGGTGGCAAGTGAAGTATATTTACCAGGGTGGTATAGAGGGCGGTTGTGTCAAGTGCTGCTACCTAGGTGATAGAGAGGGCGGGGGAAGGCAAGTATGGCTACCAGGGTGGTAGAGAGGGTGGGGAAGTGAATTCTAGTTACCAGTGTGGTAGAGGCAAGTATGGTTACCTTGGTGGTGGAAATGGTGGGGGAGTAAGTATAAGTAGTGGAAAGGGTGAGGGAGTCAAGCATGGTCACCAGGGTGGTAGAGAAGGTAGGGAGTTGAGGAATGATGAGAAAGGAACGATGGAAAAAAATTAGAGAGTTAAAGGAGGTGGGATTTGGGTGGAAAGAGTAGAGGTGAGGAAGTTAGAAGAGAGGTAGAAATTTGTGTTTAAGGAAAGGAATATTAGGCGGTTGGGGGGGGGGGGGGGGAGTAGGGGGGGGGGGGGGGGAGGGGGGGAAAAAATTAGAGAGTTAAAGGAGGTGGGATTTGGGTGGAAAGAGTAGAGGTGAGGAAGTTAGAAGAGAGGTAGAAATTTGTGTTTAAGGAAAGGAATATTAGGCGGTTGGGGGGGGGGGGTGGCATCAGGGAGAGTGAGGGGTCAGGGAGGTCACAAAGTACTTCATGTACTTCATTATGTCAGTTGACATAAGCTCATACTTTAGCTTGCACAGTTGAAATTTTAAGTGGATTCTAAACTATTTTTTAAGGTTTATACTTTTTATTCGCTGCAAAAGTCAAATCCTATGTTTAAAATACTTATTAGGGAACAGTTGCTAATTATCCGCAAGGCTCTACTTTTCCTTGGCTTAAAAACTGATGCTTGCTTTCATTTGCTCTGAAAATAATACAACATATGTACTTATTTTCTTCTCATTACTTGCATCATTTCAAATAATTCTCTATAGAATAATTTTCAACTTCACTATTCTCAATTTATTTTCAGTTAAAAAATAAAATTCTTACATAGCGAAGGAGAGCTGGAACTCTGTTAATACTCTTTTTGTACAAAACATCCCTCTCTACTTGTGCCAGAAGAGGTGACTTAAATATTCCCATATCTGGAAATGAAATTTTTAAAAAATAATTAAAAAAATATGTTAACGTTTTAGCATCCAAGTTATTCAAAAATACTTACTAATTATTAATTAGCTACAAATCAATAAGTTGTACAGACCCATAATTTTTTAAAAGATATAAATGTGGGTAAAGATAAAAAAATGATTCAATCTATCGCTGAAGATGACTCTAAGGTAGCAGCATATTTTTTTTTTTAAAGTTTTTTTTAACAGTTATTTTGTTTGTATCATGTTTTGAGCAGATTACTTACCTGGGTATTTCTTGGGCTTATTTTTGACAAAATTAACATTACATTCCCTCAAGACCCTTTTCAAATGCTCATGAGCTATTTCCTTAAGCCTGATTTGAGACTCTGCACACAGATCTGATGCATGAGTATCCCCAAGCGGATGGTACTTTACAAATTTTTCCTGATTGATGAAGAAAAAAAATCTTAATGCAAAGAATATTTAAGTTTTTTTTTAATCATCAACTTTCTGATGAAGATGAAGGGTAGAGAATTATTTTCTATACATTACTGCTCTCTACTTGAAATAATTTACAGCCACACGTTTTAATAGCTTTTAATTTGAAATTTCACTTCATATATTAACATAATTGGAACATCAAATATCCAACTAGTTTTCATAAATTTTAACTACCTATTTTGATCAAGCCATGTGCTATCTCTGTGAAGTTACGTGAAAAAAAAGATAAAACCATTTGTATGTGATTCTAAACAAACCCAAATTATATATACATATTTATATAATATATTATAAAATGGCCTTTTGAAGTTAATAAAAAATTACTCTTGTTTAATGTATTTTGACCATTTCTAAAATTAAGATTTTTTTTTGGAACAATCATAATAGATATTCAATGGACTTTATACACATGATAAGGTGGTAGGCAGCCATTTTCAATACAAACTTACAATACCAATGGCAAAAATTTTGAAAGCTTAAGGATTTTTCTCACCTTAAATTGAGAAAATTCAGCAGGGATCTTGCAATACTGGGTAGGAGCTAAATGTAGCCCTCGACAGGTGTAAGACAGAAGATCTTGCCTCCCATTTCCAAACAGACCATCCAGTAACCTGCCTTTCTGGTTGTAGTTGGGCAGCCAGGTGGACGGTGATGGTATGTTAGTGAACTATAATATAAAATTTATTATAAATCCAATTTTATTCACCAATATTTAATAGCAAAATTTGAAATTTGTGTAATGCAGTCACAGAAGTTTGATTAAAAAGTTCATTTCATGAATCATCAAATGAAATAAAAATTTTTCTTCTAATAACTTACTGGTATATAAAACCCAGATTACAGTAGACAACTTAATGAAAGTTTTAATTTTATTATAATTTCAGTGTCTTAAGAAAAATATGCTTATTATTAAGCCTTGCCTACATTAACTTGACAGTGTTTACCTTTTTGATCCCATTTAATTTGTGGGCCAAGCAGATATCCAAACATTGCAATAGATTTAGATCTATAAATGAAACAAAGTAATGCTTTGAATCAGGTATTGGAATGTAAAAGTCATTTACTGGCTGATATAGATATTGTATGATTTCCTTTTTAAATTATAATCATGATTTTGACCATATGAATAATCATGAATAAATGCATTTATTAGCTAAGCGGCATCAGGAAGGTCTACAGTCATAAAACGTCATCTTTTTGTACACTTCCATTTTATCTGCTTATATTGACAGTCCTTCCCAGCACAACACAAGGTATATTACTGCAGAAAGTAGTTGCCTTGTATATCTGATCTGACTAGGTCATTTTTTAAGTTAAAATCAATGAGCAACTATCTTAATCTATAAAAATCAAAGACACTGTATTTTTAATAATATTGCATCAAAAAATTTGATGTTTAAAACAAAGCCCTTTAATCCACACACAAAAAAATGTAAATCCCCGACAATGCAGGTTCTTTTGCTGTTGATACTATAAAAAAAAAAAGGGAACATCGTTTCATTAAATATTCAAAAATTATTTTATATCTGCATGGTTTATGTGATATAAATGTATTGTCAATAAAGTTTTACTTACTAGAATCTGCAATGCTATTGACGGTGACAATTTCCTGTTAAATGGTAAAGAAAAGAAAGTGTATTGATGTAAAATAACTTACATAATTTCTAAAATTTGTTTCCTTTCTGTTAATAAAGTTAAATGCATCTCTTTTAGTTTATTTTACTGAAAAGTTATATTTACTCATGCTACAAGTGATGCAGAGGAAAGGTTCAGAAATCAATCAGGTCGCTCTCATTTAAATTTGAATATCGTGTATCAATTTTATTAAGAGGTATATTTATAGATTGGTCAGAGTTGAACACAGATAAAAACCAAGAGATCAGAAATGCGCCCACCTTTTTGACATCTTTTAATGGGAATGTGTTATTAGCTTCAACTTGGATTCTGTTGTCTTGCTGGCTCAAAGCAGAATTAATGAGATTTGGACTTTTCCAAACATTTTCTGCTTGTGAACTGCATAGATTTTGTCTTGCTTGCACTTCATCTGAAACAAAAAATGTTTTTGTTTTTATGGATGGACCGTTTTTAATTTTTTTTTTTAAACAGATTTATAAATTAAAGAAATGTTGAAGTTGATTAATAAAAAAAATAGCTGATAATGAATAATTAAGACCCTTTGGCTAATGTGAAAAGATGGTTCCATGACGTTATTTGCGTGTTTCTTTATGCGGTGAATTAGGGTTCAGGTTAGGTTTAGGAATACATTTAGGGTTGACGTTAGGTTTAGGGATACATTTAGGACATAAGTTCGTGGGTCACGATAACAGAGACGGCGGCCATGATGAACAAACGCTGGGACTTTTTAAAATTTTAAACTAATTTTTACTTTTATTAATTATTCTTTTGCCTTCACATCCAGCTTCAACAATTACCTCTCCCCCCACCCTCCCCAAGTAAAGACAGTAGTGTAGATTTTAGTATTTATTTCCAACACTGCAGTACAGTTTGAAAAAGGTTCATCTGAAGCTGTTTATTACTTTATTTGGTAATTTACGGGGACGACTGTCACTATTTTATCGAATATCACGAATGTATTCCTAAATCGATCCCTATGCCTAACCTGAACCCTAAATGGATCCCTATGCCTAGCCTGAACAATAATAAACACCAAAAAGTTCTCAGATTAGCCACCCTCAACCTAACCTAAACCCTAATTCACTGCAACTATAATAAAGCAGCCGTCTTTGTTTATTCATAGTTTAACTTTCCGGCATCCTCCAAAGTCCGGTCCCAAAATATTTCCAATAATCACTCCGTACTTCAAAGTCTTAGGCATCAATTTGTTTTGAAATTCATGTTTGCCGTAGTGGACGATGTTGGATGGAGGTTGTTGGCCGTCGAGATGCACAAACACTTGAGCGCATTATCACTAATTATGTGTTACCAGGGACAGCTATCAAAATGTCAGTCAGCTCAACAACAGGATTTATGCTCAAACTGTCATTTGTTGATCCAGTAGACCAGGTCATTCATACAGAAACTATTGAAGGACTTTGGATGCAAGCGAAATGTAAACGCCGCCATCAGAGTGGTACTGGTCGCAGTCTGTTTGACAGCAACTTGGGGGCCTTTCACTGGCAAGCTGACAGTTTTCTTCGGCTGCTATTTGCAAGAGCTATGCGCCAATGACAATATTTAGTATTTACTGACTGCTTTGTAAAGTGACAGTTATTTGCAAAAGATATGACTGACATTCATGCATTTTTCTTACAATACACACTGTGTATTGCAATGTTCTTTATACAAAATAATTTGGGACCGTACTTTGGAGGATTGCCAACTTTCATGATTCATATTACGTCATGGCCACCCATGTATGGCCATGGGCATGGTGATGAGATTGGGAAGAAAATAGTCATGCTTAGTGAGCAAAAGCAGACCATATAAGTGCCTACAATGTAGACGTAGGGTACTAGAACTAACGACCTAATATTCTAGTTATCTTACCTTCTACAATTTTTTGGACTGCAAAGCGGGAATACGTTACACTACTTAAGATTGATAATAAAGTAATAATGAACCGGAAGTATGCAATACTATATAACGAAAAGAAACTTCTCACCGGATAAAAAATATTGTAGTGTACTTGGCTGACTTTGACCATATTTAGCGACACCACAAGCGATTCTTTCTTTTTTACAGCGATAAATTGATGTAAGATGCCGAGTTGGAAAGGCAGCGGCCCGTTGCCGCAATACAAACATCATATTTGAAATCACTATAGTCTAAACAAATATTAGAGAGCCAGAGATGAAAAAACCATCTATATTTTATGTTCTTGTGACGTCCGCGCCACACCAGTCTCCTAGAGAAGTTAAAGAGGAAGATTTTGATGACGACACTGTCTAACTATTTGAATACGAGAGTTTCATACATAAAAAAAAAAAACACGCCACAAGCTGAAATAGCATTTATTTTTAAATTTCAAAAACATAGACACCCCCCCCCCC